AAGATGCTACAGGTTTTAGTGTTTAATGACTAAAACCAACTTTCTGTGGTATTCCAACCTCTTGTACTGCATTAAAAGGGAAAAGCTACAGTGGAAGCTCCCAATAGGAATTTAATAATATGTCCAGGGTGTCCAATTAATTGAGAAATTTTTATCAGTGTGTTCAGTGACTGCATACAAGATATCTCCTGTTTTGTTATTGGTTGGTTTTTGCTTATTTTTTCAGTGGACTGTGCTTTGGAGCTTTCGCTTGCATTGAAATGAGATACTGAATGTGTGTGTCACAAACAGCAATGTATACTTAAAGCTTTTCTCTTCTATTGCTCTGACTTTTAAACATAGTCAGAGGGAAGAAAGGGTGGTTCTGGAGTACCAAAACTTGGCATCTCCTGAACCGAGAAAAAGATGTGTGTGAACCCAACTATCTTCAGGTCTTCCTGCCCAGAATCTTGCTTCCAAGGTCTTCCTTATTCTACTTATGCTCTGCAGGTCCTGTTTAAAACTTGGATCCTAGCTGAGGGCTTCTCCTGTGCTTTATGGTAGGACAGCCAGTTAAATCCTATCAACTTGCAACCTCAACATAATGATTGTGTTGACAAAGCGCAGTTGGGCACCTGCAGCCTGTGATTGAACGCTCCTGCAAAGCCATCAAAGCAGCTCCCAGTTTTAGGACGAGGCTGGCCTTTGCCCATGGATTGAGCTGGCTCTTGGCTGACCGCTGATCAGATACGTGGGTACCTTTGCCCTGAACCAAATGGGATTGAGCTTGATTCAGGCGTTGACCTCATCTGCAAAACTATTTGTGATTTCCATTGGTATAACTGAGATAACAAGTGTATTTATATGGGAACTTGAAAGTCTAGGTAAGTGTAACCCATGCAGCCCGAGGCTGAGTTTTTCATCAAATTTGGAGAACGCTTTTCTTCAGCTTGAGCCAACTCCATGGTGCTGGAAGTCCATCTGGCAGTGAGGGTTCAAGGTGAGCAAGACCCGCACTATTCCCTGCTTCTCTCCTATCTCCTGATTTTATGTGGAACACAGTTCAACAGCAGGATGAATCAGATGTGAATTGTTTGATTTACTATCAAGTTTCTGGGCACCTAGGTTGATAGCGGAGGGTAAAGTATCACACACGTGCATACCAATTTGGGAAGATGAGGGGTTACTCTTGCACTGAGTTGCCCTTTATTGCCCTGTTGTGGTCCCTGCCAGCTGCTGCCTCCACCGCCTTCACTCCTCTGACTTGAGGTGCCTGGAGTTCATTCAACACACTTAACAATTAGAGGCAAAGAGTTCAAACTTGTCAAGAGGAACATGCCCAAGAAAGCAAAGTATAATTTACCCTGATTATAAAATGCATTCCATTCCACACTTGTTTTGACATTGTCCCTTGGAGAAAAATATTTTGTCTCATAAAGAAGTCTTGTTGTTGCTTTCGTTGTCAGGAGGAGGATTGCTCCATAAGTGTTCAGCTCCATCCAAACCCCACAATGAAAATCTTTCTAAAACATCTTCTGTATCCAAATACTATAGCTTATGTTTAACTTTTTATGTTGTTCCAAAGCCACAGGGTCCTGATGGTGAGACAAAAACAGTGGACAGGAGATGGAAGTCAATGTAGTCTTGTCTCTGCCAGCAAAGAAGAATATCGGAATACAGAAGATAGGGTCAAGATAGGTATTGTATGAGGTGTTAATTTACTTTTGGATAAACAAACAAGAAAGTGAACAGTAATTTTCACAGGGAGAGTTGCACTGTCTTGAAAAATGTACACTGTAACATTGAACCAGGTTCCAAGTGTGGTCTTCATCCATACCAGTCACACCTCCCTGCCCAAAGAATTGTACTGATTCTCTAGTTGTCGATACCAATTTTGTGTTAGTTTACATTTCTCAGTGTCAACAAATGTATTCCTGGTTTATACCTCAGTGTGTGGAAGGGATTTAAGGCAGCGGCGGAGCAGCCCTGAGCTGCAGTACAAGAGAGCAGAGAGTTGGCAGTATCTCCAGAAAGGTCAGGACCTGTGCTGTCCCTGGCACAAAACAAACTAGCATCTTTGTGGTTTTTGACTCTCTTGAAAGCTGATACCCAGAAATACCCAAGAATACATGTACGTGGATAAGCACAATGCTCAGTTTCATAATGTAATATTCATAGTTTTTCCCAAGCCATGCCTGGCAGGACACATCAAAAATATTTGAATGCAGCCACCCACACTACGGTATATCAATCCACAAGTTCTCAGAACAACACACGCATCCAGGGTAAGAGATTAATGAGGCTGCTTGTAGTTTCATCCTCAATAGGCCCTTTGTTTCAATTAGCTGAAGAAAAAGGCATCTTTTTCTTCTAAAGCTACAACCCTTACATGAATTTTGGATATGTGTGCCACAAAAGACATGCTGGGAATTGTTAAACTTTCTCCTTTTATAAAAAGTGGTAATGCATTCCAAACTCCACACATACACATGCAGTCCCACTGAGGTCAATTTGATGTTTTACATATTTAAATTAAGCACATGCTGAGTTGTTCTCAGAAAATTTATTCTGAAATGAACTTTAGCTATGAACATTGTGCAGAATTAGTTTTTCAGAGCTTGGTTTATTTCTCCCCATCAGTTAAAGTCAGCACTGACACAGATGTGAATTCTGCCTCTAGTTGTTGTAAACAAAGATCCTTCTCAGTGTGGAAGAAGACAAACGAGAACACATTATCTGTCATCTAATCAGGGCACTGGAAGGAGTATGTAGAGAGTGACTCAGAGCATCCTATCTCACAGCCAGCTTGTAATGAACAGAACATGCATGAAAAATGCCAGATTGTCAGTCCTGAAAACTGGCACACTTTATTCATAAAAAAAGGCGCAGATTAGTTGGCTCCAACTTTTCCTATATCACTCGCACTAACATGCCTAAAGCCTGAGCAGAATTAACTTCCTTTTGGATATGTGAACCTTTTTCACTTCCTTGTTGAGAAAGTTAATGTGGAGGCCAATTAATTCCATTCATTTTACGATCCATCTATCTTCCTCTGAGGAGTGACTGTAGGAAATGATAACAGGGAACTAGTGCTGTCATTGTCTTTTTAATAAGTAATTCTGAATGTGCAAATCATTTCAAAAAAGCAAAGAACTGAACTGAATTTATCCAGCTGACCATAGGTGAAAGGTTTCATATATATTTATTAATCTCAGAAGCATCATGCTCTTTTTCATACTTCTCAAATGCGAGAAAAAGAAAGCCATCTGGGTTTCTTAATGTGCAAGTCTGGCTTGGTCACTCATTATCTTTGTAGTTTGATAATTATCTGTTTCCTAGGTAAATTGCTTTGGACATGTACTTTGAGGTAGCAGATTAATGAAGTTCTTTGAAAACTTCAGGAACTTGAAAATCTTCAAAGCTTCCGGAACAAAATTTTCCAGGTCAGTGGTTATTGTACATTCAGAAATCCAGAAGAGAGCAGACATTTGTACCTCAGCTTGTACAGAGTTGGTCAAAACCTTACTCAGAGCAACGCTTGTACAGATCTTTGAGTCCCCTAAATTTAAATAGCGAAAATAATAAGCAGTCCAGCAAGCATAACCTGTGATACAGAAGCAATAAAGGATTTCGAAATAGCTGATATCTAGGCTGTCAAGGTCAGTTCAACCAGATAACACCTCTTCTCTTTGGTTGTCTTTAAAAGTTAAATCATCAGAACATTTGTGAGCAACATGATATGCCTGGAATTGAATAGTTCTGACTTTCTGTTAGCATTTGTTCCATATTGGCACAACTCCATTCGCTCTAATGGAGTAATAGTAGTTTATGATACTATAAGAAGAGACTTAGTGTGTATTATAGTTGTAACAGGTTGGGTAAATTTCCCCTCACAGTCTTGCACTTAGCATGAACTGCCAGAGCTCCCTGGGGATCACTCAGAGGAGTGAGCACCTACGGTCTCCCAGCCCACCCTTCCCGGGCTCCGGGCTGCCAGAGCAGCTTCAGCAGCGCAAACACCAGTCACTCTAAAGTACACATTGCAATATGATTTTCAGAAAAGCAAAATTCTCGCATAGTGCTGTACAGGTTTTCATACACCATCGTTCACTCAGCCGGAGGCAGCCTTGACTTGGCACAGAGCGCGGTTTTGATAACTGTCAAATTTGCTCTTTGCTTAACCGTCAGGATGTCAGTCACAGCGCTTGGGACGATGGGTTTTTTTAATAGACATCATTTCTTTTGACTCTGCAAAGGTTCAAACTATCTTCATTCTTCCTCAAAACTTTATATTGATTTTATCTTGTCCTAATGGCAGACAAATGTAACAGTCCCATCCCTGGAGATCTCAGTACTGTGCATGTTGGGGAGAAACGTGTTCTGACTGTGCTTCGGATGCAGAAAGCCTCCTAAAAGTAGCATTCACTGAGGTGTGATAGGATTATACAGAGGGAAAGGGGCTGGAGGTGTGGATTTAGCACATTCCTGAATAGTAGGGCTAGCCTGGATTGAGGGAATGGTGAGATCAACTGCACAAAGGGAGTTTGGCATCAACGCCCTGAGCTGCAGGGCTCAGCTCCCCTCCACTTGCCAAGCCAGGGTCCACCTCACTGGGGCTGGCTGGGCAGTGCACATCCTTCCCTCCCATGGGGACCTGGGCTTTGCAAACCATTCCCCAGGCAGGGTGTCATTATAGCACACAATCGAGCAACTTGGGGTGGGGGCACCATAAAGCAGAAGTTTTTCATTAGTGAATTAAAGTAATTTGGTTTTCGAGAATTTCCAGTTCAAGCCCACTGAGGATATTAAGCAGAGGGATGAAAGCTCCACAGCAAGATTTTTGCAAGACGCTATCATGAAAGACAAGGTTTTTGTAATGCTACAAAGACTTTATAATAAACTACAGAAGACTGTTTATAGAAAAAAAAATAGAAATCTTTATTACAAAATTGACTACTACCAAAGTGACTAGAAAGAATCAGCTAATGCACAACTGCTTTACACATTGTAATGTAGTTACATGTACATGTCTGAATATAACAGCAGAGGAAAACAAATAAAAAAGAATTCAGGAGACAGACTAACAAATGCTAAAAACATGTATCATTTCAGAATGTAAAAAAAATAAAAATAACCATTCATGGCTGTATATATAAACCTGTACTTGAAACTGCATCAATGGGACAAATAGACTAGTGACCATAATAGCTAACATACGGTGTTGCGTGCAGGGCAGTGACAGCTTTAACCCTTAGATACAGGTATTGAAATCTCCACAGGAAATAGACCTCTTCGAAATGTTTATGATCCTTATTTCCTGTGGTTCTGTGAAACATACATTTTATGTTACTCATATGATGAAGTAACTATCCTGTTAGGATAACCATCATTAAATAGTGGCAGAACCCATAGGATTCCAATGATTCCATTTATGGAGAAGGCCTTTCATGTAATAAAAGACCACTAAGGTTTGACAATAAAGGTGTGATAAAATGGCTTGTGTGGGAGTTGAAGGCATGAAACTTTATGGATATGAGCAGAGTATGTGGCAGGCACAGTATTGCAACAGTATATTGATTTGAACCGCACAGTTCAAATCAAAGTACTGTGCAGGCATGACAAATAAATCCTGTTAGCTACCTTTGTCCTTATTTCCCTTTTATTAAGGGAGTGAGCAGCGTCAGGGAAAATATACTTCTTTAAGTATCCTAATTTTTAAACCCCGTTATTAGCTTTATTACAGACTGCCATCTTACTTCTCAATTTAATTAATGACATTAGCAATTTGATAAGGACTAAGCGAGTTTCTTTTCCCTTAAACTGACTTTTCAGAGTGATTCAACTCTGAGCCAACTGGGCCAGTTCAGCCGTGACTGTCGTTCCCTCAGGTGTCCTCTACAATCCCCACAAACTGGAAAACAGCTCTTTCCAAGGCAGCCTGTTGAACAGCTTGAGGCTGTAATAATTTCCCTGTGCACTAACAAGAACTGTACAGAACACTCCACAGCTCATTACCAAGCTCTATCCTGTACAGTCCCTCAGCTGCACTAAATCAGTATATTTGCATAGGTATATAAATGTGCATGGTATTTTTCTTTCCTTTTAACATTGCTAAGTACAGCTGAACTAACCACATTTTTCCAATAAAACAGTATGGGAGCTTTTCTTGGTACTATTTCTGGCTCCGCAGTTGTTCAAGGGACACGTGTTGCAGTTTCTCCACTGGTTACCCTAGGCTTTGGCTTTCCCAATCGATGTATATTTTTTCAGACAAGGAAGCAGCAGGGTTGTCATTTATTTTCTGCAAGCTGTATTAAAGAGAAAAAGAATCTATAGAGTGATTGGTTATTTAAAAGCAAATAGCACTGAACAAACTTCAGATAAAGGAGTTAATATCCTTACTCAGATTACATTGAGTGACATTTTTGCTGTGCTGTTGGCCAGCAAAAAAATCTCTCTCACCGTATTTAAATGTCACTAATTTAAGGATTTAATTCTAGATTTTCCAATTTAAATTTTGATACAAATAATCTATTTCGTTAACTTATTTGTATAAGCTTCCGAGAAGCGAAAATCTTACATTCGATGTTTTTGAACCCAAAGAATCAGTTTTCCAAATTAAATTTTGATATAAATAATCTATTTCGTTAGCTTATTTGTATAAGCTTCTGAGAAGCGAAAATCTTACATTCGATGTTTTTGAACCAAAAATGTTAAATAAGTTGCAACAGCATGACTATTTACATGTAGATATTTCTTTTCTTTGTCCTTCTGCCTAAAATCAAGTTTTCTTATCTAAACTCTGTAGTCTACCAGTGTACTGTTCCTTCACTGGGGCACTTTCTTTTTAATGCTGTACATTGATGCTCAAAATCAAATGGTATTTTTCAAGAAATACCTTCTAGAAATGCAGTGGAGAAGTTATAAGAAAATAACAGCTATTATATTCTCCAAGAGTATACACTTTTTGACTTCCCCATTTCTGATCTGCATCACGTTGTGAGGTCAAAGCTTAGGAAAACACCTGTTCTTTTGCACTCACAGTTCTATGAAAATTCTAAATGAGGTTCAGAGAAAAATCTCGTACTCAGGAGGCCCTTATGCACGTACCTTATCGTCTGTGAAACGCAATGGGAAGCTCCCTGCTGGGAATCAGTATTCCCGAATGGAGTGTTTCTACTGGTTTGTTGTCAGTTGCTACAATTTGGTACTTGCGAATGAGCTGAAACACAAACATTTCAGTTAACATGCTTTGGTTTCTAGATCTTCCCATTGGTATAAGTGCTGAACAACCAGCCGTTGTGCACAGAATGCCATTTTAGAGTATTTACCCAGCAAAGGGCCAAGTGAAGCTGTAGCTCTGCGACGCGGCGCCCGATGCACATCCTCTTCCCAATGCCGAATGGAACGTGAGCGCATCACGTTGTGAGGTCAAAGCTTAGGAAAACACCTGTTCTTTTGCACTCACAGTTCTATGAAAATTCTAAATGAGGTTCAGAGAAAAATCTCGTACTCAGGAGGCCCTTATGCACGTACCTTATCGTCTGTGAAACGCAATGGGAAGCTCCCTGCTGGGAATCAGTATTCCCGAATGGAGTGTTTCTACTGGTTTGTTGTCAGTTGCTACAATTTGGTACTTGCGAATGAGCTGAAACACAAACATTTCAGTTAACATGCTTTGGTTTCTAGATCTTCCCATTGTGCTGAACAACCAGCCGTTGTGCACAGAATGCCATTTTAGAGTATTTACCCAGCAAAGGGCCAAGTGAAGCTGTAGCTCTGCGACGCGGCGCCCGATGCACATCCTCTTCCCAATGCCGAATGGAACGTGAGCGAAAGGATTTATTGAGTTCTTCTGAAACCAGCGCTCCGGTTTAAATTGAGTCCAGTCATTAAAGTACTCTTCATTGCAACCCAGGGCATGGCTGTTTATCATTAGTACAGTCTATAAACAAAGCATTAGAAAGAGTCTCGTTACAAATTGGCTTCGAGCTACCAAGTGAATCAGCTTGTTGACGGAAAAAAATAACACAACAGTAAAGGCGAGGCAGCTTCTTCAGAAAATGTGTAATTCTCTGAAGATTAATTCATACATAGAAAAGGTCAGTTTCCTCAGAAAATCATGGGAAAGTTTGAAAAATTTTTTAAAATAGCACACCAAAATATTTCTGTCTAAATCCAACAGCAGTGCAGGCAGGTATGGGTTTCAGTTTATGGGAATTCTTGATGAGAATTCCTCATTCCATATCCTGGGACTTGTCCTTTGGTAAAGTCATTTTGAGACTGAAATATGACCAACTTCAATGGTTTACAGGATGGTTAATTAATGACAAAATATTGTACTAAGTTAATTAATTGACTTACCCCTTCGGGTAGTACATAGTCTCCAAGAACCATTTCTGTGTCAATGGTGCGAGTGGTAAATGGTACCGATGGTGTTAATCTACAGTGAAAGAAACAAAATGGGTTAAATTTCCAGCATTTTTTCTTCCTCTATCTGTCATAGTTTACTTTAAACAACAAGGTGAACAAAATTATATATACTGGAGCATTTTTTTACCACTAGGTGGTAAAAAACTTTGTGATCATTTTGCTTTTTGCAAATTATTTGAGAATTTTACCTCATGGATTCTTTCAGGCATGCTTTTAGGTAAGGCATATTCTTCAAGCTCTCAGCACTTGGAGTCTCATTAGCAGCCAAAACATTTTGTATTTCCTGGAAAAGCTTCTGCTGAACATGTGGATTGCGTGAAATGTTATACAAAGCCCACAGTAAACTATTGGCCGTCTGAAACAAACCAAAAAGAAACGTAAGACCTCCTTTTGTGGTGACAGAAACAAGAAGTTGCCAAAAGTTCAAAGCGACACAAGTTCAAAGTGACAGTTGGTCACTGCCTTATGGTATTTCATAAACCTAAGGGATCATGAGCCACCCCAGTTGTTCTCTAGGAGTAATGAACAGAAGAAAGAATCTAGTGATTTCAGGTAAAAATTCACTCGCAATTAGGCCACTGAATCAACGATGGGATTAGCTCACTCCCAGATGTTGTGATGGTTAGGTTATGGAAGAAAGCAGGGAGTTGGAAGGATGCTAATTTTAAAAGGCTCTGGGAAAGTCAGGTTTACCGTTTCAACTCCGGCAATCTGGAGCTCTGCGATGGCAGCGTACAGCTCCTTCTTGGAAAGTTGTCCTCCAGAATAGATGTCACACAGGAAATCCTCCTGAGGGTTTGCAGCGTGTTTTTCCAGTCGACAGTCAATTGAGTGCTTGGCTGAGGAGGGAGGAGCAGGAGGTAATTAATGGAAAAATCACTAAAAATACTATAAAAATAAAAAGATCTCTCACATGCAGGATTTTGAAAAAAGATACCAAGCTGTGCTCTTTTTTTCAAGCAATGAGCATTATACTGAATATATAATGGTATTTTCACTTTTTAGACAGAAAACTTAGTCACAAAAATCACTTCTGAACAGAAGGAGCTTCTGCAAACTATTAGGAACTCTGTCTTCTTAAACCAGGAAAGGAAATCAGTGATGCATTGAGTGAAATATTTAGCAAACAGAAATACAAGTGTGTAAAATTTATTAGGTTGTATTTTCAAAAGGGATCAAGGTGTTAAAAAAAAAATATCAAAGTCTTAACACTCAGACTCCCCGAGGGGAAATTTAAGCCTTTGATTTACTAGGGAAATACAGAAATAGATGCCAAATTTCTACTTTTTTTTTTTAAATAGAAAGGACTAGATATTTCCCCACCCTTTCTCATGAATATCCCAATTGTTAAGACCAGTTCCTAGTAAGGAGATATTCATGTCAAGTGAAGGTGTCAAACTGGTTTTTCTGAACAAAACTGGTCTAAAGGGTCTTTCCTAAAACCCATAAACTATGAAGCAATAAAATAAGTGCACGTGTGGCTGGCATGACCTAAGGTTCTGAAGTATCAAGTACTCAAATACCTAAGAGAAATATATCACTCAGTGGTACAATCATCCAAGTGTCAAAACCTTCCTTAATCTTTAGCTACAACTGTCACTGTCTGGGAAAATATTGAAAAATATAACATTTACTTCATATCCAGAGTTGGAGTAATTTTTACAGCCTTGAAGGCCAATTCATCTTAAGTAGACAGGAAATTTTGTCAAAAAGCCAAACTGTACCTTATCATTTAAATTGCTTCTGTTTTTAAGAATTATGACTATATTCCAGGTTGTTAAAAAAACACCTGTCGTTTCTTTTTTTTTTTAGCAAACAGGCTTTTGTTGCACGTAATATTCTTGTTTCAAGAAAACAACTCCCTTTGAGGTCCTTTTGAGGGAGGTTCCTTTGCTCATTGGCATACCTTGCCTTTAAAGAGATTATACACTTTCTGGCTGTTTACTTTTATGATAGATTAAAGTGGACTCATCATATTGCTGGCTTCCAAATTTCTGGGTCTTCCCTAGGGATTGGTTATTGCCCCACAACCAGACCTAAGTGTTAGTCATAAGAAAACAGTGCACCCATGCTTGGAATAGGTTTGTGGTTAGCTGCAGCAAAGGTGTCTCAATCTGTGCTGGAGGCAGCAATTAACAGCAGCGCAGGGCAGCAGCAAGTATAAAGAAAGTTAATTCCACCAAGTAGGAAACAGAGATGAAGGGAAAGGAGACAAATTGAGTTTAAAACAATAACCTGTTTTAAATATATCATCCCATGCTTTAGTATGAGCTTGCCAGACTTTTGTGTTCAGACCCTTGTGAAGTTCCACGGGGGTCACCATCATCATTCCAAAGGTAGCCATCATCTGTGGTGGAGAAAGAGTTTTTGAAGTCTTTCTTTAATCTATGTATTTGCAATCTCTGAACAAAATTAGACTGTAAAGCAGGATATAATTTTCAGGACATCAAGATTCTGGCAGATTTTCCATCCCGGACAGAAAGGATGGATCTCAACCTGCGTAGACCTCATCCAGCTGAAAATTAGGGACAGCCAATGGAGGACAGGCGGCTTCTCCAGTGGGTGATTCATTCTATCTATTTTAGGCACCTGTTTTAGAGTGGGACAAGCCACCCTTTGGCAGTGCCTCTCTCTGCCTTGACAAAAGATGGAGCTAAAAAACTAGGCCAGGCTAGATGCTTATCTTTTTGATGGCTAAAATTAGGCAGATACACATCATCGGCATCCAAGTTGCAGCAAAATACAGAGCAGGTGTGCTTGCAGGAATGACTAACCTCCAAATCCAGAGTATTTGCATAATCTCACACAACTCCAAGAGACACTCCCAAGAAACAGCAGAGTTGCACAACAGGTGTCTCAGAGGGAGAAGAAAGTTAACCAACCAACCCAACAACTCTATTTCCAGGATTACCCTACTGTCCATACAGACTTTTTCCCCTACAGATTAGGCATTTCATAATGGGACAGTCAGATGGTCAGTACTAGCATTGCACATTGAAGTGTCACCTTGGATGGGGCCCCAGTAAAGACTCTTCCATACCGTTTTTACAGCCTTGATGAAGTTCAAACTTTCTCCTTCTACATCCTGCTGCAGGAGTCCAAATCTCTTTCCATACAGCACCAGGCAGATACCTGTTGTTAAGCAATATTATCATTAAACGATACAAACAAAAGGGTTCATGGTGTCCACCATTTATTGTCAAAGAATGGCTTGGATTATCCTTCTAAAAATGGTCTCTGTTCTATGACACACACCTGTGAGAACAGCCCTTTAAAACACCTCCTGCAGGTTTGCCTCAGACCCAAGTAGCAGTATATCAAGCTTAGATGCCCTTACAGTAGCACTTCACAAGTAAGAATCACCACTGATCACCCTCACATGAGCAGAAGGTCTTTCTGCCAAGCAGGGCTGGCAAGCAAGTTGTTTGGCAAAGCTGCTGAAGAGAACTGAGTTGCAGGAAAACAGGTCCTGAAGAGGCCATCTAGTCCAGCATCTCCTAGCCCTTTCCACAGCGAGAAAACACTTGCAAACACTGGCAGCATCCCACACTCCACAAGTTTCCACCTCTTTCCATTTCTCTTTTTTTTTTTTTTTAAAGCTGTCACTTCTTATTTCTCACTTTCCATAAGCAGCCATCACCACTGACAGTGGAAAAAAAAACACTTTAAGGAACTCAGTACACAGGTTGGTGTCATGTCAGCCATGAGCAGCCAGGTCTGGCAGAACTCTACACTCAACCATTCCTCCTCGTTGGGAACCACTGATGCAGTTTCTTCTGCCCTAAGTCATTCCTGGCAGATGGTTCCTCTGAAATGTTTCTAAAGATGGAGGCTCCTGTCTTGGTAACTTATTCCAGTGCTTCTCAATCCCAATGTAAACATTTTAAATGGGATTTTCCAACCCTTGTCTACATTGAGCACTTTTTCACTGTTACTGGATTATTTAATTGAACTTGTGCTGCTGATAATTAACAAATAT